CGAAGCCCTGCTTGCTTATAATAAAAGTTAACTGCTTTTTTATTTTGACTCTTTGCTTGAGTTTCTCTGGATTTGCAAACTGTAACTTTGTTATTTCTTCTCTTCTTGACTTGAGGGTCAACTAAAGAAAAAAAGGTTGTATTCTTGAGAAACATCTGCAATTGGAAATGTTCACAGACACACAGAATTATAGCAAAACAACAATAATAATGGATAGAAATATCGATATTTCAGTTTCACATGATCTATGAAGTGAAGACTTTGGACTACCGTCCACCACAAATCAAAATCCCACGTGCCACACGTTTGGAATTCTCTCCTGGATAGAAATATCGTTCCTTGTCCTGATCCAACTTTCCACTCTGAACCTCCACTCGTTTGAAATGCCACTTTCTGCTTCCATGGCCTTAATTCAATCTACGAAAACAGAGGGAGATCTTGCTCCTTCTCCTCTTCCATTTCCATTGCTTGAATTTAAGAGATTTATTTGAGTCCTTTAGCTCATACATGGCCTGCCCATCATCAACAATATGCAGGACAACAACTGACTCTGCTTCCAAAATTTCAAGCTGCTACAGCAACACCTCCATGCTCCTCTTCTCCTCTACCATTTCCAGCAAACGCCAGCGTTTCATCACTTGTTCATTAGACCCCATCTCAACTTCATCAACAACATCTTCTTCTTCTTCTGGCTGTTCTTGGTCTTCAACGTCTCAGAAAGGTAACATAACAAACAAAAAATCTCTTGAAATACAAAGAACCAAGGATGGGACTTTCTCAGTTATAGATGATCGCGAACCATCTGATCAAAAGAAGATTAAGAAAAGCAACAAGGACGAGACTAAGAAATCCGGTCCAAGAAAGCGACGACCTTTGTGGCAAAAGGTTTTCTTTGCATCCAAGAAGATGAGGAGTATTATCTTGCTCAATTTCATCACAATTGTCTATGGTATGCATCTTTTCCATGAGCAGTTTGTCTTGTTACAAACTTCCAAGATATGAAAAGCAACTTCACCTGCCAAAAGCATTATATAGTAATGGGTTCTTTTTAATGTAGCTAATTGGTTTGATTCAACAAATGCAGTACAACTTAGTGATATCATGTAACAAGAATCTATCAAATGCCTGTTTGATAACGTTGTCAAATGTTGTTGTAATTTAACATGTTGAAATTCTAAAGCCACAAATTTCTGAGGTATATGCTGATTCAATCTGCAGCAAGTGACATTCCAGTTATCAAAGAAGTTGAAGCTATTATGGACCCGGCGGCCTTCTCAGCAGTGCGATTTGTCATGTCAGCCATCCCATTTCTGCCATTTGTGTTCCAATCACGAGATGATGTCCAGACCCGCAATGCAGGGATGGAGTTGGGGTTCTGGATCAGTCTAGGGTACCTTCTTGAGGCACTTGGATTGCTTACATCTGATGCCGGTCGTGCATCGTTTATTTCTCTGTTTACAGTAAGCTCAAACTTTGTAGACCACAAGTACTCTTCTTTCATTTTTTTTGGGTAACAAGTACTCTTCTTTCTTCAATACATATATACACATCTCATATGATTTTACTCAATAACTTTCATGATTCTCTTTGAATGCTGCATGGAAAAAAAAAGTGAAAATTTTGTTAGATCAATAAATTCATGCTAACTTGAACAGGTTATTGCGGTACCTTTGCTTGATGGCATGCTGGGAGCAATCATACCCACTCGTACTTGGTTTGGAGTTCTTATGTCTACTGTTGGGGTTTCTATGCTGGAATGCAGTGGATCACCTCCAAACGTAAGAACGTTCTCGATGCTTTCGCGTTGAATGTTGTAACAAAAGCTGATTTCATGTGGTGAAAAATGGGACAACATATATGACAATATAGCTCTTTGGCAACTAATCATAATTCTACTTTCCTTTTCAGGTTGGTGATCTTTTGAACTTCTTGAGTGCACTATTTTTTGGTATTCACATGCTTCGAACAGAGCATATTTCAAGAAGCACAAAGAAAGAAAACTTCTTAGCAATTCTTGGATATGAGGTATGCAGGTCGTCATGCCTGCCTCATTTTCTTCTTCACATAGCTTTCTAAGTTTTGCACTTGAACAATTCCGTGGTTTATTCAGGTTTGTGTCGTTGCTCTCTTATCCACAATCTGGGTTTTCATTGGAGGGTGGTTAGATGGTGCCTGCTATTCCAACCAATCATCATGGATATGGACATGGACAGAGTTATGGGACTGGATTGTTGCATTTCCATGGATACCTGCACTTTATACTGGTGCATTTTCAACTGGGTTATGCTTATGGATTGAGGTATAGTTCCTCAGGTCACACTCAATTTAAGCACTATTTGGATACTTCTAATATCCACTGCTCACTGATTTGCATGCCTTGTCCTGCTGATTAGTTCATCCCACAATATATGTGCCTTATAAATCATCAAGTATTCAGAACTTATTAGGGCATGTTCAAAATTAAAAAAATTTGTTCATCGCTGCAGATTGCAGCTATGCGTGATGTTTCAGCGACAGAAACAGCCATAATTTACGGGATGGAGCCCGTGTGGGGTGCTGGTTTCGCATGGTTTCTACTTGGTGAAAGGTGGGGTACACTTGGATGGATAGGGGCTGCTCTTGTGCTTGGTAACTAATTTCTCCTTCTTGCTGTTGTGATGTCTTGTTTCTTAGATCTCAAGTCAAATTGGTCTCTGGAATTGGTGGTATCATTTTACCACTATTTTATTTTATGATTATAGGTGGAAGCTTAGTGGTGCAGATATTTGGGTCCTCACCTCCCCAAGAATTTACAGTGGCTGAAGATGGTAATGAGAAAGGCGATCTCCGACGACTTCCCACTGAGCATAAATTACAAAATGGTCTCTCTACTTCCCCGATTGTTGTCAGATCCAAAAAGGATGTTTCAGATTTTTTTAAATGATCCCTCCTCTTTTTGTTTGAACTTCATATATATATATATATACCTACAAGCTTGAAATTAGCCAACAAATAATGTATAGAGAAAAATTATCAATGATTTTACATCTTGATTACCATCTCCATGAACCAATAATTATATTTTCTCTTCGAAAGGGTTTGAGACTTCCCGTGATCAAAAGAAGGAAGAAAAGGATAACACATGAGACCAATGTAGGGAAGTTTTGTATACCACATTGGAGTTTTAAAGAAGAGAGACGCTTATCACAACCATTAAACAAATACAAACACTCCAATTCCATTAACGATGGGCAAAAGTTGAAAGACAAAATCCCGGATGAATGCATCCTTGTCCTTCTCAACAGCATCCAGTTCCCGCTGCAAAACTTCTTTGAACTAAAGGCACCAGAAAACAATTTGATTTCAGATCAGGAACAAAACAGTAAACATTCATTCCGATCCTTCTACAAGTGCTTCAAGTCTCATCAGTGATTACTATAGGACAGGTTGGTAATTTCAATTTATAAGGGATCACTATAACTGGTAATACGTGCTATCACTGCTATGTCTCTGAGCTGCTGTTCTGTTTGGGACAGGTTGGGCTTTACAAGGCTGCAGTTGCAGTTGGGTATGAATTACATGCTCCGCTAGGTTTTGATGGTAGACTAGAATAGAACACTATGCTTAATTATGCTATACATAGTTGATCAAACTGCAGGCAAGTTGGGGAGGGGAGAGGACTTGAAATCAGTCATTCCTTGGCTTGTTCTTGAAAAATCCTTGCCTCACTTTTCTACATGCCCTTGTCTTGTCACAAACCCATAGAAGCTGCCCTTGGAGGCCTTGTGCTCAGCTTTTTGTCGTCGGTGGTGGCCAAACAAGACTGCTGCGGGCACAAAATTCTCTGGGTGCATTTAAAGCGTATAGCCGCGCGGCTATACATTTTAAATATATTCTAATATTTAAACGGTATAGCTGGGCAGCTATATTCTAATATTTAAATTGTATAGCCGCGCGGCTATACGGTTCAAACGTATTTTCATATTTACAAATTTATAAATAAACCCAATCCTAGACATGTATTTATAAAAAAACCCAAGCACTATTTAAATATAGAAACACACCCAAAATCAACAATTGTATATTTTTTGGGTGTGTATATAAATGGGTTTTGAGTGTGTGTAATGATGAGTTTTGGGTGTGTTTATAAAATGTTTTGGGTGTTGGGTTTTTTTATAATTTCAGCCCTCATTTTGGGTGTTTTAGTGAAACTCCCTTTAATATTTAACCAGTATAGCCGCACGGTTATACTGTTCAAATATATTCGAATATTTAAATAGTAAAGCCAGTCGACGATACTGTTTAAATATATTCTAATATTTAAATAGTAAAGCCGGCCGCTATTCCTTTTAAATATATTTGAATATTTAACAAGCATAGCCGCGCGGCTATATCGTTTTCATATATTTGAATATTTAAATAGTGTAGCCGAACGGTCATACTGTTTAAATATATTGTAATATTTAAATAGTATAGCCGAGCGGCTATACGTTTTAAATATATTTTAATATTTAATAAGTATAACCGATCGGCTAGACGGTTTGAATATATTTTAATATTTAAATAGTATAGCCCACCGGCCATGCTGTTTAAATATATTGTAATATTTAAATAGTATAGCCGCCCGGCTAGACGGTATTCGAATATTTAACAAGTAGAGCCGTGTGGCTGTACCTGTTAAATATATTCTAATATTTAAATATTATAGCCGCCCGGCTAGACCATTTAAATATATTTAAATATATATATTCGAATAGAATTAGCGCTCAAAGAAACCCAAAAATCAACCAAAAATTAAAAATTAAAAAGAAGTGGAAAAGCCCTGCTTTCCCTTCCCTGGATTTGAGTTTTGCTTCGATTCCTACACTCTGAACTTTCCCTCTCTGCATGGATCAAGCTAAGGCTATGGTTTTCTCTGATCGGCGCGATTCCTCTCCATCTCCACGGAACTTCACTGTAAGTTCCCTTGTTTTTTTTTCAGAAACTTTCACTTTTCATTTTCTGAAATCTTCACGGTTCTCATGTCTGCTCTTGGGGTTGCTATATGCTGGAATGCAGTGGATGACCTCCAAATGTAAAAACGTTCTTGATGCTTTTGCGTTGAGAATGTTGTAGAAAAATCTGATTTCATGTGGTGAAAAATGGGACAGCATATATGACAATGTAGCTCTTTGGCAACTAATCATAATTCTACTTTCCTTTTCAGGTTGATGATCTATTGAACTTCTTGAGTGCAATATTTTTGGAATTCACATGCTTCGAACAGAGCATACTTCAAGAAGCACAAAGAAAGAAAGCCTCTTAGCAATTCTTGGATGTGAGGTGTGCAAGTCATCATGCCTGCCTCATTTTCTTCTTCACATAGCTTTCTAAGTTTTGCACAATTCCGTGGTTTATTCAGGTTTGTGTTGTTGCTCTCTTATCCACAATCTGGGTTTTCATTGGAGGTGGTTAGATGGTGCCCGCTATTCCAACCAATCGTCATGGATATGGACATGGACAGAGCTATGGGACTGGATTGTTGCATTTCCATGGATACCTGCACTTTATACTGGTGCATTTTTCAACTGGGTTATGCTTATGGATTGAGGTATAGTTCCTCAGGTCACACACTACTACTTTTGCACAAACTGAATTAAGCACTATTTAGATACTTCTAATATCCCCTGCACTGATTTGCATGCCCTGTCCTGCTGATTAGTTCATCCCACAATATATGTGCCCTATATATCAAGTATTCAGAACTTACTAGGGCATGTTCAACCTTAAAAAATTTGTTCGTCGCTGCAGATTGCACCTATGCATAATGTTTCAGCGACAGAAACAGCCATAATTTACGGGGATGGAGCCACTGTGTCGTTTCTACTTGGTGAAAGGTGGGGTACACTTGGATGGATAGGGGCAGCTCTTGAGCTTGGTAACTAATTTCTCCTAGCTATTGTGATCTCTTCTTATTTCTTAGATCTCAAGTCAAATTGGTCTCTGGAATTGGTGGTATCATTTGACCACTATTTTATTTTATGATTATAGGTGGAAGCTTAGGTTAGGGGTGCAGATATTTGGGTCCTCACCTCCCCAAGAATTTACAGGGCTGAAGATGGTAATGAGAAAGGTGATCTCCGACGACTTCCCACTGAGCATAAATTACAAAATGGTCTCTCTACTTCCCCGATTGTCGTCAGATCCAAATAGGATGTCACAGATATTTAAAAATGATCCCTCCATATGTATATATACATATATATATATTTATTTATTTATAGCTACACGCTTGAAATTAGTCAACTTATAATGCATAGAGAAAAATTGTCAATGATTTTACGTCTTGATTACCATCTCCAATGGAAACATTTCTGAAATGACATATTTCAATCGCAACCATGAATCCTCAATTATCTCTTCTCTTCAAAGTTTTTGAGACTTCCCGTGATCAAAAGAAAGAAAAAAGGATAACACATGAGACCAATGTAGGGAAGTTTTGTATCCCACATTGGAGCTTTAAAGAAGAGACACTTATGACAACCATTAAACAAATACAAACGCTCCAATTCCATTAAAAATGGGCAAAAGTTGAAAGACAGAAGTCACACAATAGTTCTAATTAAAAACAGCGACATGGATTGAAATAGGACAGGTCAACAACAGACCATTATTTTAAATCACAAACAACGTTCGTCCCAAAACACATATCGAAACAGTGCAGTGCTTCATTTCTTCTTGGCAATGAAGAGGCCCCACTTCTGCTCTCCAGAGTCAGCCCTGATCAGCTTTGCCTTCCATCCACCAACTATATCATCATAATCCTCCTGTTTATATTTCAATTACAAAGAATCAGATGAATGAATGCATAGACTGATAGATATATCGACGAAAAAGGACAGAAATGAGGAAGAAACGCACTTCCGAAAAGTCCTGGATGAACGCATCCTTGTCTTTCTCAACAGCATCCAGTTCCCGCTGCAAAACTTCTTTGAACTAAGGCGCCAGAAAACAATTTGGTTTCAGATCAGGAAAGCTCAAAACAGTAAACATTTTAAGGAAAAATTACAAGATTAGCATAGCCTTATGCAAACCTGATCAGTACGATCCTCAGCAATGACTTCGTCAAAACCAGCATCCTTGAGCATCTGAGGTTGGTATGAACATACCAAATGTTACTTTACGTCAAGGAAAAATGAATAATAATGATCTTATAAGGCGGGCCAGCAAAACTGTAAACAACAAGACTTACCTGACCATATGCTTGTACATCATGGAGATCATATCCTCTTTGCTTAATATACTCAGCAAACTCTGCCGATGGAGTTCCAGCACTCCTACAGTAATCACTGATGAGAACTTTACCTCCTGGCTTCAACCACTTGTAGAAGGATCGGAATAATGCAGGTTTATCCTGTAAATTTTTCAAATATCATCCAAGTCATAAATGACAGTTCCTTGAAACTTGACAAATTAGTATAGTGTTGAGTTTGATCAGTATAGCAAAAAAAATATGTGGCTTCAGTGTAAGTTCTTAGAATAATTACTCACAGAAGCATCCCAAGAAAACTTACTTGAATGTGTAAAATGGTGTCACGGCTGTATATCACATCAAAGGTGTCGTCAGGATATGTCTTTTGTGTGCAATCAGCAACTTCAAACTCGACAGCACATTTGAGTCCAATGGCATGTTCAAGAGCAAAAGAAATCATATTTACGGAGAGGTCAATGCCAACAACCTCAACATCATAATTCGAGGCCATATAAAAGTCACCTCCCCCGATGCCACAGCCTACATCTAGAACTTTCTGGCTAGGCTTAAGATCCAACATTGCCACAAATTCTTTAGTTGTTTCTGCTCAAAAGAGAAGGGTTCACTCAGAAACGGGGGGACAACATCACCTCATGTAATGCTTATAATCCACAAATAAAAGTTCATGCATACTTACAGGACATTACCATAAAACTAACCAAACTTAAGAAAGATAAAATCATATAAACTGAACACTTATGATAAAACCATATATTTCTTTCTAGCATCTGCTTGTTCATTATTTCAGTTCCTACTCCAAACTAATAAACAAAATTCCGATGCTGTATGCTACTATGGCACACCAGCTAAGTACTGTTCCCCAAACAAGTGCTTATAGCTACCAACCAGATGAACAGTTACAGCACAAAACTTGGTCATAGAAAAGGGAACAGGAAAATAAATAATCAGCTAACTATCTATTACCGATCCCTCCTGTGCTCACAAAACCTTGTCCAAAGACACGCTCATATCGTAATATGCCATTACTTTTGTACTGAACATTATCTAAGAACTGCTGGAAACCTCTATCATCCTGTGAAGCAACTTTCTGCCATAACCAGCAAATCTGTATTAACCGAGCATCTTGTCAGTCAGCCAGTTCAACCGCAAGAAAAGAAAACTACTAAATCAACTTCTGCTAGTTTTGTACCTGATTTTGATTCTTTTTGTTCCGAACATAAGCTCCAATACATTTGCAACCAACAAGAGAGAGTTCAAAGAAATTCCCAGAATCATCATGCATGTGGCATTGTTTAAAAACCTGCAGTACAATGTATATCAGAAGTAAATGTCTGTTGACTGGAGCTACAATGTCATGAGTTAAATCCATCATAAAAATTTCTGAAACTGACATAGCCCAGCATAAAGATAACCAAAAAAATTTAGCCACAACAAATGGGAAACTTCAGTTATGAGGAATCATTTGGAAGTATTTCTACTTTTCGAATGTAAACTCCTATAAATCAGAACATTTTCCAAGCTCTCATTACAATGCGGGCAAATGAAGCTCCTAGCAAGTAAATTCGACTCTGTCAACTCATCAAATTCTTATCACATACACTTTATAAGAAAGAGCCTAACTTAGAACACCCATCTTAAAGTGGGTGCATATTACTGCACAAATGGAATAACCTCCCAGCAACTACAATGAATTGAGACCAATGATAATCTCTTCATGAATTTAGTTAACAAAATTGAGCACCTCCATGGCACATCTTGAACGAAGTAGTAAAGAAGGCAAACCTTGGTATAAAATCTGGGTTCCCGGTAATGGGTTGGATTGGATTTTCTTTTAGAGTCTCCAGATTGGTGGAAACAAGATTCTCTGAAAAAGATATATCCACCGACCTTCAACCATCCCATCATCCTTTCTACCAAATTTTCCACCTGCAACATGGAAAAGATTTCAATTAGAATCAGGAAAAAAATGACAGATAAGCAGAGAAATTATATAATGATCCCAAAACCTGCAGAAACACTAAAAGAACAAAGATATGACCTCTAGCATAATCTGTAAATCACATCAAATAGTACCCGTGCAAATATGATGAAATGAGTCAGAGATTTGTATGCTGCACTAACAGTCAAGTACCACACATAAAACTGGAAGCCCTAAAGATGGGAATTAATACATAAATACATAGTTAATAAGAGGTCAAACGCACATATAAATAGAACATGGACACTAAAACCGTCAACTGTATTAAGAGTGAACGGAAATTGTAGCACATTTTCATAACTCTTTGAGTTCGTCACTGCACATCACCACAGTATACTCATGGAAGCAAAAGAAGGAAGACCACAACAGGAAGTAAAGCACTAACTGTTCAATTAACGAAACGGAAGACCTAGTGACGAAGACAAATTACCTCCTTATCTGATAAATACATAAGAAGCCAATTTGAGAATATCATATCCACTGATTCTTCAGAAATCTTCAGATCAGGAGATGTAACATCAGCACACATGAACTTGACGTTCTTATGGTGTCCATTAGTGCTTTCATTCTGAAAGTAGCATATCAACACTATTAATAAACAAATAGCAGCCTCGCTTTCACTTTGAGATGCAAACCAAAACATTGATCTTGGCGTTACCTTCTTTATCACACTGTCAATGAAGTCCAATGCGACAAGCTGACCAGCCTTTTGAGCTAACTCTGCAGTGAAACGACCAATCCCAGCTCCCAGTTCCAAAACAGATTTACCCTCATATGGAGGGAGCAAAGAAAGCACCTGATATGATCCAGTTAAATCAAGTCCTCGACATGGGATGTTGACCAAATGAAAACATCATATAAAATACACCAAATTTATAAATTTGAAAAAGAAAACAAAATGATTAGAAAAGGAAGTGGTTTTCTCAGCCTCACATCATAGAAAGGCAAAAAGCTGAGAGAGCGCACATAACTCATCAAAACATCATTGCTGAATAAACAACAAGCAAAAAGAAACATCAACGGAAAAATTATTCTGAATGCCACTAGCTTTCCACTCTCAGAAAGTTGTTCTTTTTGCCCTTCTACTGGTAACCACATATAGAGGAGGGGAATAAACTTGGGAGTTGTTGTTTACGAAGAAATGTGTGATAATCAAATGAATTATACAGGTCATATTCGAGTCAAAGATCATAAGTCAAGGACCATAGCTTTCTTCTCATTTAGTTATCCAGTGAAGAGCTGAAAACGCTCTGTTAGCTTCGGCATTGTAACCATGGGACTGATTCATGGGGAATGTTGTTAATGTTTCATTTCTCAAATAATCAGAGCACTGTTAAATTCATGTCAGAGGGTTCTCAAATCAGTCTTCAGTTCAAAAATTAACTCTCATTTCGCACAGGTTTTGTTCCATAGTTCAAACAGATTTTAGTAACGGTTAGAAACACAGAGTCCTTTGCAGCCAATACCTCACCAATTCAGCAGCATTGTCATTTTTCTATACAAAACATGTATGCTATATTATATATAAAATATAGATAGAGATATACCTCAGGTCGCTCTTCTTTGTCAAGATCAGAGGCTTTGGAGTCGAGCATCATGGCCTCAACGGTCAAATCTGCGGAGTGCTCCACCCAGTAGTTCTTTTGAACCTCACGCTCTTGTCCTACACAAACCAATCACAGCCAAAACAACAACAACAACAAAGGAAAACTCAGAGATCTGAATCACATACAGAATTAGCCTCAGGATGAAGTAAAAACAACGAAAATGCCCACGTAATATTCATACCATTAGCAGCAGCCATTGTAGACCGAAATGGGAGTGAGAGAGACTGAGCTGCTGAAAATTCGAATGAGAAAGAGAAAGTGAAATGTGAAGAATAAATAGGGCTAAGAACCCTCAACAGCAATGCGTGATCTGGAAAAGCTCCTTGATCTTCGGTCGTGAGCTCTGCCTCTCTGCTGCATATAGAAATGTAGATTGCACCGCACCGTCTTGCCCGATTGCTATGAAATGAATGACTACGATGAGAGTTTCACTCGTATTTATAATATAAAAAATAGACTCAGGGCACTTTCGTCATTTTGAATTGTGGGTCTGATGGGTGGGGTATGCATTTGCCGTTCATTTTTTGGTCGACCTAGACTCACAAAAGTCGGTCATGCTCTAACACGCGGGAAGTTTCGACCGGCCCATGGCCAAACTCAATGTGTGACTGTGAGTGTGAACCTTTTTGGTTTTCCTCATCAATGTTTTTTTTACACATTTTTCACATGAACTCTCCAATACCTTCCCGGCACTTGTTTTTTATGAGTATTTTTTATTTTAATTTTAAAAATGAGTAATTTTCTTTTTTGGGTTTGTTTGTGTCTGCAGCTTCAAATAATGCCAGTGCATTTTCTACTTAAGATTGGAATCATTTCAGGCCCGCTCATATCCACAAGTAGATTCGATTTCGTTACTTTCATCACCAATGTTAAGGCAAATCCACAACCTCGAGTTTGAAGAACTTACGCATGGCACCCAACTGTTAGTTATCAGCTATCGTCGATATGAATTTATAAAAAAAATTACAAATCGCGCACCAACGAAAACTGCTGACAGCATAACTCGAACACTGATAGTACTACACACAATACATAGAACTTACTAACTAAACCAATCTTCATTGGCTGCAATTATTTAGTTGTTCCATATGATAACATGTGGGTGTGGGTTCGTAAAGTTGCTTTATTAAACACAGGTTTTGTTATCATGTATCAGTCTATACTCTATCACTTCATCAAATTTGGTCGTACTTTGGATTTTATATTTTAACAAATAATGCGAGTGTATTTTCTACTTGTGATTGGAATCATTTTAGGGCCCACTCGTATTAACAAGTAGATTTGATTTTGGAGATTATTATTATTATTATTTTGAACGGAAATTTAAGGAAGAAATTGACTACTCTCATCACCAACACTAAAGCAAACCTACAATCTCAAGTCGGAAGGGTATATCATATTATCAATCATGAAATAAAAAAGTTATTATTTTCATAATTACTCTTATAATTTCTAAAATAATTATTATTGAGAGCCTATCTTTAATTTAAAAAACAAGTGAAAGGACTCATTATTGTAATGATTTGAAACAATTGCTTCTTCAAAAAAATATTATATGTTCGAGTCCTGATATTCATGTAATGTGTGTGAATTTAGTATGTTAATACCCCTCTCAATAGAAAAGATCATCATGGAAAAAAGAAAAAAGAAAAAAGAAAAGAGTGAAGGAAGAGTCCAAAATTTGCATACATCTTATTAATTAAGAAATGATAGATCCAAGGTATTTTGTATTTTAATCTACGGCTCACAATCCCATATCTGATCATCCTGCAATTTGATGGTAGATACGTGGAGATACGTGGTTACTGATGGTAGAGGCGCAAGTGTCCTCTGTTTTATGGCCACTTAGCACGTGTTTCGTGAATAATTGACAGGACTGCGTAAAGACATACATAGCCTTTACCTAACTGGGCTGTGAGAAGGAAAGGTCATAACTGACTTCAGGTCGCAAGGGCACGAAAAGAAGGGAAATTTGTCGTGTTGTACAGGGTGATTAGATCATTCCAACGTGTTCTTAGGTGCATTAGATCTGATATATTTTGCTAATCATTTCATGACCAATTCCAATTGCTATTGGAGATGTTATTCCTTTCCATTTTTGCCTAAATTTGGTTCCAAATGTAGAAAAAGAAATAGCGCTCAATCAAAATCAAAGCTACTTCTATGGGATTAACGACCCCACCCAGATTTCACAAGTAAATTAATTAATTAATTAATTAATTAAACACCTAACCCACTCCTTTCCAAAGGAGAACCACCAGAGTATTAGTATAAGTACTAGTACGTCGGATTCTCTCATGTACATCAGTACAGTGTCAATGGGGTTCATTATGTACAAATCCAACACACTGCCCCAGGCCACAAAAATATCCACCAATAACAGACTCAACTTGTTCTGTATTTATACGATTATGTATATAAAGAATTTTATAAAATAATGGCATTTTCTCTCATTTTTTTATATCAAGTATATATACATGATTTTTTTTTGTCATCACTTGCAGGCAGCGAATCTTTTTTTTAAAATTACGCTATAGTCAATGCCTCTCACAGTGGGTTTTGGATGGTTTTGCTATCCTTTTATCTTATTTTATGGTACTTTTATTTTAATAAAAAAAAATGCTAGATTTCTCATATTTTTATACCACCTCTTTAATATAAGTAGGCCCTATTATATTAGTGGACTCCACTTTTATTAAAAAAATAATACACAATGTAATATAAAAATATGATAAACCTAACATTACCTTTTATAAAAGCATCTGCTCCAATAAAAGCAAAATAATGAACTGAATAATTTCATACCCGATGTCATTATTTGCCATGGGCCAGGCAGTAGTTTGTTTGTAACTGAAATGAATAAATGAAATGTACGTTGTGACGTGGTGCTTGAGAGGCGACAATTCTGAAAAATCCGTGGTCACAAATTTCGAGATGTGTATGGGAAAAAGCTGAACTCGGATAAATCCAAACAGGACTAACTTTGAAACCAACCCAAGCCCAAACGCAAATATGAACCGAAGAGCGGAGGGTTGGATCATTGGATCGCAAAAGAGGCCCATGATGAAAAGTGTAGCTGGGTATTGGAAAGTCTTTTTCCTTTGGGATAGTCATAGCCGGGCTTCTGCTTTCTTTTGGGTCAAGGTCAATCCGACTAGCTATTGGATTAAATAGGACAAGGAGATATATAGTTGCTGACTTCCAAATAGATGTATTGAGCTTTACAGAATTGAATTGAGCAAAGCCTGTGGTCTGTGATGGGGTCATGTATATGGAGAATACGTATGCATGTAATTTGCAAAGCCTGTGGCTGTGAATATCTTTTCTCGTTGGCTTTGGTCACTGCACTGCACTGGAAACTTTTTAATTTGAAATGCCATGTTAATATAAAGAAATGAGTAAGTGTTGTTGGTCCAAATCAAAAGGAATCCAAGACCATATATATATATATATAGAGAGAGAGAGAGAGAGAGAGAGAGAGAGAGAGAGAGAATATGTCTATATGAAGAGAAGGGATATTTTAATTTCACGTGCAGTAGACCATGCGCATAATAACCATATTTTAATGTAATTAAGCGAGTGCGAGACGAGAGTGTAGAGTCCAAGTTAATTATATAATGAAATGAAAAGACTGCATTCACTATTATACTAATACTATAGTGTATGTATATATCAATCCCTTTCAAATTCAGTGTTAGAGAGACCAATGATAATGAGAAGAAGGGATATGGGATATGGGATATGGCATTTGGATGGGATGCGAATCCCCTTCAAACGCACCAATAAAACAACCACAAAAAAACGTGTGGTAAATTCATATGCTTTGTACATAATATGATCGATACAATTCATATGCGTACATGTAAATTGTAATGTAAGCACAGAGAGAGAGAGAGAGAGAGAGAGAGAGAGAGAGAGAGAGAGAAATTACACACACACCCCTCCTTGAGTCCTGTTGTACGCAGGCAGACGCAGGGCAAAGGGCAGAGGCAGCAGGGCAGGGCCAGGAATGAAAAAAGGGCGTAGAGCTAAAAAACTGACATGACAAACTCACAAAGCATTGTCTTGGGAACGGCCGACCCAACACAAGTTAGTGGGAGACAATCAAAACGTTAGCCACAAACAAACCATTTACACTATGCTATATTATTATTATATATCTCTCTCTCTCTCTCTCTCTCTCTCGCGAGCTCTTGGAGGAGGGCTAGCTAGCTAATTCTAATCCTTTTTTATTTTTATTTTGATAAAGACGAGACTGACGTTGCTGGCCTTTTTCTTATGCAAAATTAGTGCTTTGTTTTACCGCTTGTCCACTCTGCCTCTCTCTCTCTCTCTCTCTCTCCTTCTCTTAATTATTTGCCAAATAATAATATGCCAACCTACTTAAGTGTAATTAATTAGGCATCTCTCTTCCAACCCAAGCACTAAACGACTAAAATCAAAAGCGAAGGAGACGAAGAAGGAGCAATTTGCTTCTCCCATTCCCATACAAGTGCGTGCACAAGTGCGTGCATACTGCAGCTAGCATTAGATTATATTCTCTTACTAGACCATCTCCCTCTCTCTCTACCTCTATGCTCTACCTACCTATTCCTTCAATTTATTTCTCAGTGTCAGCCGTATTTGTGGATGGATGTAGAAATTAAAGAATATTCAACTGTCATTTATATCCTTCCAAAATCTTTTTTGTTAGTCAAATACAATTTTTTGTTTTCTGTGTTGGCCGCTGGTATATTCAGTCTTTAACCTAGATAGCTATAGTAGTTGAAGCCAAAGCCGAAGATATATTCCAATATCATATCTCCAATACGAGTGAATTAATTTGAACTGTATAAATGACACACACATGTATACGCATATCTGGATCGATTAAATAGAGTGCATTAATCCATGTAAGATCATATTCTTTTAGAAACTCAGCGCTTAGTCCTCATAACTTAAAGAGATAACATAGAAAAACGACATATAATGCATTTCAAATCAATAGACAATTATAGCTAAGCTTGGAGAATAAATTCGAATTTTTCAATAGATATTATACTTCTTTCTCCACTCTGCACAAATTTTCAAACAAGTATTGCTTAGTAGATGAATGATATATCAAGTTATTCAACTTTAATTTCAAGTCATTTGAATTTCTTGCTATCTATCTATTTGAGCCCACCCACCATTGTGTAGTGGCATGACTAGATTGGGG